AATAGAAGTTTTTTTTTTAATGGCTTACCAGGTTTTATGAAAATGTGTTCCATTATGTTTGTTCATCACTCAAATGTAATATTTTAGACTCAAATGCAAATTAAGCCCTTAGGTTAATAATCATAAACTAATACAGTCAGATCTAATCTACTGAAAATCTTGGATACATCACTGCACATATTATTTTCATCCACAAGTTAAATTCAAATCAGAAATCCTTTGTAAAAGTATAACTGAAAATTACTACACAATATAATAAATCTATCAGAAACAAGGTGGTGGTTAAAAAGCAAAGGTAGTGCAAATACACATATCTTAACATTATTTTATAGGTTTACTATTATTTTGATAAATAATATTTGGCTCCATCCAGTTTTCTAAAGTATGTAATAGAGTATATATAAATATACACATATGCAAATGCATCTACAGATCTATAATAAAAATTATTTAAACTTATTATTTTCTCTGAAGCCTAGTGACCTCAAGAAGACTGGTACAAGGGTAATCATAGGAAAAAAAATGGAAGAATTTCAGTCCCTGGTGTACTGTGAGAGAGAAAGAGAGAGAAAAAAAAAACAACACTTAAACTGAATACTTGATTATTGAAGGCCATCCTCATAAGCAAAATATTTTCCCTCAATTACACCTAATTATTTAATTGTTTACATTTACTAATGAAACGAAACAACACAAAACAAACAACTGTAAGGGGCTGTTTTTCAGCAAGTGCATAATCATCAATCAACATGTACAGAAAGATTCTTAAAATCATATGAAGTTGGTCTGTTTAAATAGAAAGGCATATTTTATCCCAATCAATGCATAAAAGTAAAATTATCCATAACTGAGGCATGTTTCTCTGCTGTACAGTTCAGCTGTAACGATCCCCACACACTGCACTTGCACATCAATTATGATAATCATAATCACGGTCGTTAAGCTGAATGTTCATTATTATCAGGATGCTGGTGACAGCAGATTCAATCACCGGGTGCCATGGGCAAGCAGTCCCAGCCCCACCCAAGCTTCTGCAGACAGCGATGTGCCACATTAAATCTGTGATGTGCTCCACATCCCACTCCATTCCAAAAGCCGTAGACGGTAAAGGTCAACTTTATGTTCTGTGCAATATGCTTAGGTTCTCTAAATTAATTCTTTGGAGTACTAGATATTTTTATGCTTTGTGGCTTATGAAATCCTGTTTAGGACCAAAATGCATGTGAAAATAACAAGAAAGGGCTGCCCTAATGTTGTAATTCACCTACAATAAGGCAGATGAAGAAAGGCTCTAGCAACATGAACCATCTTAAAAGTCTCTTCCTGAATTCTGCAAACATGGGAAAACACGAAATAGTTCCATTAAAATCAGTTGTCTAAAATGCATATGAGAACTCATTCCAATTCAGATAAAGGCCTTAGACTATTATTTCTGCTTCAGTAAATATGAACATATGTGAATGTTTCGACAACCAAAAGGATGTTTTTAGTGTACTGAATTTTTGTATTGTCCAACTCATTTAAATTTACCCAAATAGATTAAATTAATAGTGAATGACTGGTATATGCTCCTTATTGAATTTCACTTCTTTTTTAAATATTGATATCAGCACAGTAAAGAGTTTATAAACACAAATTATTTACCTGAACTTAAAAAGTTTTACCATTTAAGACACAGGCCTTTAATCTAACAACTTGGGGCATTTTGCGAACAGATTAAAGAAATGTGAGTAAGGAAGGGAAAGAAAAATAAAATGAGATGAAAACAGAGAGGGAGGCAAACCATAAGAGACTCTTAACTCCAGGAAACAAACTGAGGGTTGCTGCACGGGAAGTGGATAGCGGGGTGGGTAACTGGGTGATGGACATTAAGGAGGGCACTTGATGCAATGAACACTGGGTGTTATATGCAACTGATGAATTACTGACCTCTACCTCTGAAACTAATAATATAGTATATGTTAACTAAATTGAATTTCAATAAAAAATTTAAAAATGATATAACTTAAGTTGATTAAAAGTTATCATCACTAATTACATAAAAAAAGAAATATGATATGTTTTATTACATTTTTTATTACAGATGTCCATGCTTTTAAGAAAAATGATATATGTTATTTTTCATTACAGATTTTCATACTATGAAGAAAAAACTGTACTATTGGCTCTCCCTTTGTTGACGTTCTGATGTCTTTGTACAGTGTTCTTCGAGTCAATAGCATTAAAAATAAAACAAAAATATTTAAACAATATTTGGTATTTAAATGATTTAATGTGAATGTGATCAGAGAAAGAGCATCTAACATTTGATTTTCTCTCAACTGATACCCTTTATCACTGTGTAACAAATGATTTGAAAATTATAACCTCCAGGCATGTAGATGATAGAAGAAAAGGAAATTCTCCATGTAGATAATCTTAAAACATGATGGAAAAGGTGGAGAACAGGAACCAACTATATTTAACTGAGCTGTTTCTTGGCTGAAGTCAATTTATTATTGCTTTCAACTAAATGTTATGTACAATTTAAATGTTTGTAAACAGTCCATCTTCCCACAGAAGAAGCATAAAACCAGGTCAGCCTTTCTTCTTCAATATTTTGACCTTAATAACTCTAGCCTACCTAAAACTATCCTGACTCCACTAATAATGAATAAATTGTGGCCTCTAACTTCAGTAATCAAGAAACTTAAGTTTTTATTGGACCCAATTCTCACCCAAATGACTTAACATCAAATCAAAATATAAATTAGGTCTAATAGTTGTAAGATTTAACATATAAACAATAAAATGGCTACCTCTCTATCGTGCGGATTACATCAGCCACACAGAAAGATAATTTGTTTATTTAATATGTTTATTTGAAGAGATCAGAAAGTAGGAAGAAATAAGAAAGAAGGGAGGGAAGGTGGGAAAAAAGGAATTTCAATTTGCATTTAGTATTTTTCTACATGCTTTTATGTAGGGTTAAGTGGATTCATGATTTATTAAGACTTAAAGAACCCAGGGACCCCTGGGTGGCTCAGTCAGTTAAGCGTCTGCCTTCGGCTCAGGTCATAATCCCAGAGTCCTGGGATGGAGTCCTGCATCGGGCTTGCTTCTCCCTCTGCCTGCCGCTACCCCCCTGCTTGTGCTCTCTCTCTCTGTTAAATAAATAAATAAAATCTTTAAAAAAAAAAAAAAAGACTTAAAAAATCCCTATACTTTTCTCTCTTAATTTTCGGGGTCTACAAGAACAACTATTTGTCATAACTTGTTAAGTATGTATACTTTCTAAAAGTATGGAGGGGCACATGATTCCTCAAAAGAACAAAATAAACTTTTTCTCTTTAGTGAGTATCCAAAAGTCTCTATATTTCCATGAAGTTGCTTACTTCTGTAAGATAGATGCATATTCTAAAATATGTTAGAATGTATGAGGTGAATCTGTCATATAAAGCCAAAAAGTACTGTATTATTCTAGGAAAGAAACATTTGCACAAGGATCTTATTTACTCGGAAGTAGCTTAGTGTCCTGAGGTAAATCATTTATATTTAAAGAAACGAACACTTCCTTGAATTAAATAAAATGGTGAGGGGACATAAAAGCAAAAAATGTTTATGTCAAATAGCAAATGAGATGTAGATCACATTATGCACATTCAAAATATGAAATTAAATAGTTTAAATATTATATTGAGCCTATATTCTGAATGGCTGCATATCAGGTATAAACAAATGCCAAGAATAACATCGTCACCAGTATTTAGGTTTTTCAATCAGTGAGCCAAATTGAACTACCCACCGTACCTATTCTTTATGATGTGGAATTATTGTTTAGTATTTTAGATCTTTTTTTTAAGAAAGAGGACTTAGCAGGTGGAAAAGAAAAAGGCACTTTCTAAAGTATCTGTGTTACTCCCCAGTGACTAACCCTCGGTAATCCCATATTTACAATGTCATAAAAAAAGTCTTTTTCTTAGAGTTTGGTAAAATAAAGATATCATTTTTCTTAAGGGTCTAACATGTGTCCTCCTCTTGAGTAATGAGGATATGTCTGCAACTTTTGTTTTCCTCTTCATCTTTGCCATCCACAAGCTGAAATTCCTATCACTTACCACTGCTGTAATGGTTTCCTTTATTTTGTGAGTATAGACACTGTTCTCATCTAAGATCATTTCCCCCTATTTTTATTTCTAAAATATAACCTTTACTGTATTTACCTTTTAGTAATGTGTCTTAAATCCTTTTGGAAGGAGGCTGTGTGAAAATGAATAAATCCTCACTGACAGACTATTAATAGAACCAATACGTCTGGTATACCCTATGGAACTCAGTGGCTTTAACCCCTTTCCAGAGTGTCACTTACAACTTGATTTTATCTGCGTAATTATTTCTATAAATAAGTTATAGTTTCTGTTAGATAGTAGGCTTAACATGTAGTAAGAACTTTCCTTTTACCTCACATTGGTGTAAGACACCTTGGTGTTTTCCCTATTCAGAAAATTTTCTCTAAATGCTAACAAATGTAATTCTGGAATCAATAAATATTTGCTTTCTTCTTTTCTATATCATATATATATACATATCACATATATCTCTATCTATTCCCATCTATGTATCTAGCTACCTACTTACTTATTTACTATCTATCTATCCACAAACACAGAGATTGAGAGAAAGCAATCAAGCGCTGATCTCCATGTCTTGAGAGCTTGACTATTCTGTGACCACAGATTCAAGTTTTGACCCTGGTTGGCTTTGGGAAAGCCATGATGCGTGCCATAGATCATTGGGTAGCTGAGCCATTACACATAAAAACATATAACACTAAAAAACAAAAACATAAATCTCTTACTGCCTAGAGAAGTCAGCAGTGTCATCTCTACATGAAATAGCTATAAATAATTTTATAACCATGAAGGTGTTAACTGTAATGAGAATATTTATATTTGTTGTAATCAGTGTATATGTTTAGCCTTTCCAAAGGAACATTATTTTTTAATGTTGCATTAACTTACCTTGTCACAGATCCACTTCTTAGGATTTTCATCTCTAAAATGTTGACTTCCATAGGAATTGGGACCATACTTGCTTGATGAATGCATTAATGGGGTATACTTTTTATTTTTATGGTAGGAAGAAAATGGCAAAAACCTGAAAGAACATTTAAGTGATGTTAATTTTATTTCTGTAGACATTTGATTAAAGGCATTAGAATTTAGAGAAGTAATAAAGCATAGTGAAAATAAAACATGGCTTGGAATCAGAATACCTGGATTCCACTTCAACCTCTGCCACTATCTCTGTTACTAACTTTTATGAATTTCACTTCTTATTCAGCAAAAGGAGATAATAAGACTTTTTTACAGAATTTTTATAAGTCTCAAATATTTTGGAAATATAGAAAATTTTAAAGAATAAATTTATCAATTAATGATGCCAAATAATTCAAAATTTACTGTGTAAATAAAAATGTTAATTTAAAAATGGCATCCAAAAATGAAAAGGAGGCCCAGTATAGGAAATTCTCATTGAAATGGGTTTTCTTCAAAGTTTTTTTCTTTTTTTTATTGCAATATAATGGACATACAAGATTATATTGGTTCAGGTATACAACATAATTTGATATTTGTATATATTGTGAAATGATCATCACAAGTCTAGTTAACATCCATCACCATACATAGTTATCTTTTTTCTTGTGATGAGAAGTTTTAAAGATTTACTCTCTTAGCAACTTTAAAATATGCAATACAGTATTACAAATTATTGTCTCCATTATATATTATATCTCCATCTGTACATTATGTCCTAATTACTTACTGATTTTATAACTTGAATTTTGTACCTTTTGATTCCCTTCACCCATTTCACCTACCCACCACCCCAGGTCTCTGGCAACCACCAATCTGTTTTCCGTATCTATCAGCATTTTTTTTTTAAGATTCCACATATAAGTCAGATCTTATGGTATTTGTCTTTCTCTGTCTAACTTATTTCACTTGGCATAATGCCTTTGAGGTCCACCCATGTTGTTGCAAATGGCAAGATTTTTGTTTATGGCTGAATTATATTCCATTGTATACAACACTTTTTCTTAATCATCCACTGATGGACATGTAGTTTGCTTCAACCCATATCTCGGCTGTTGTAAATAATGTTGCAATGAACATGGGGGTGCATATGTCTTTCTGAGTTAGTGTTTTTGCTTTCTTCAAATAAATATCTATAAGAGGAACTGCTAGATCATTTGGTAGTTCTAGTTTTAATTATTTGAGGAACCTCCATACTGTTTTCCATAGTGGCAGCACCAATTTACATTCCCACCAACAGTGCACAAGGGTCTCCTTTTGTCCATATCCTTGTCAACACTTGTTATTTCTTTCTGATACTAGCCATTCAGACAGGTGTAGTAGGGTAATACTTCACTGTGGTTTTGATTTCCATTTCCCTGATAATGAGTGATGTTGAGCATCTATTCATACACCTGTTGGCCATCTGTATGTCTTTTTTGGAAAAATGTCTAAGTCCTCTATCCATTTTAAAATTAAACTGTTTTTCCTTTTGCTATTGAATTGTATGAGTTCTTTATATACTTAAATATTAACCCTCTAACAAATATATGATTTGCAAATATTGTCTCCCATTCAGTAGACTTTTCACTTTGTTGATGGTTTCCCTTGCGGTGCAGCTTTTTATTTTGATGTGGTCCCACTTGTTTATTTTTTGCTTTTGTTGCTTTGCTTTTGGTGTCAAATCCAAAAAAATCATCACTAAGACTGATGTCAAGGAGCTTACTGCCTATGATTTTCTTCTAAGAGTTTTATGGTTTCAGGTCTTCCATTAAAGTCTTTAATCCATTTTGAGTTAATTTTTGTGTATACAATAAGATAGTGGTTCAATTTCATTCTTTAACTCATCGAAATAATGAAGGCATTTTTGGTAGGGGTTATGAATAATGGGGTTTTTGAGTCAACCAGACCAGTATTCACATCTTAGCTTTGCCCTTGATACCTCTATATATAGAAGTTACTTGACCTCTATGAGATTTTACTTCCACATGGGTTGTTGTAAGGAATGAATAATTTAGTATATGTAAAGCTTAACATGGAGGCTGAAAGAGCAAATGCCCAATAAATAATGGGGGTGCTAAAAGTAGAAGTAAACGTAGAAGTAGCTTGTTCCCATGGCCATCATTATCATTAGCATTAGCATTATTATTGTCTTAATGTGTTATCATGATCAACATAAAAGATCAAAATTTTAAGACCCAGATAATCTTTCACGGAACATCTAAGACTGTGATAATACTTTTAGTGTAATGTGGTGAAATGCTTAAATACCTCACCAGAACCCTCTGAAATAAGAGTAAAGAAATTAAAAAAAAAAAAGTTATAAACCTATAAGAAGAAAGTGGAAAAGAGAGGAGAAACAGCAGGTGAAAATACCAATTTTTGCCCAGTGAAAAGCAGATAGGAGATTCAAAAAACTGAAATCTCAGTTCCAGAAGCGGGAGAGGCCAAAGGGGAAGAGCCATTTTGCAGAACTCCAGTGAAGCTCAGGAACAAAAGCTACAGTTACTGCAGAAGTTTAGAGTGAGGGACAGAACTGGAAACAGATCAAAAGTCTGTGCAAGAAGTAAAGAAATATTCACGTTCCTCTCCTAGGCCATGCATCCATGAGAAGAGCCTTTTCTCAGAAACTTTACACCAGAGAGCTCTGGTCTCGGGGAAGCAGGCACAGGCCAATGGGAGGCACCAAATGGGATATATGATTTTATTTATTTTTTTATTATGTTCAGTTAGCCACTTTATAGTACATCATTAGTTTTTGATGTAGTGTTCAATGATTCATTAGTTATATAAGTATCTACTCATTGAACTCTTCCCTTGCTCGTATCTATGTGAGCTGGCAGCTGGACTTAAATACTTCATTCACATGAATGCATCTTCTCAAAAAGGTACTGGGAGTGCCCAGAGATACAACGTCAACTATTGACATTTGAAGAATTCTTAATTAAAAGTCGATCAAAAAGCGACTCTCACATACAAATATATTTCTAGTCTGATTTTTAGAGTCTCCTTTAATATGAATCTAAGAATGGATTACCAATTGGGGAAACTACCAACATGAAAGAAAGACACAGATCCAAACACAAAAGATAATCTGGAGGAAAGAGATTTAATGAAGGAAACAGGAGTAAACCTCAAAAATTTTAATTAATATAATCAAAGAGGATATGGTGCTAATGAAGTTGGGAGTTAGATGCTGTTTTAAATAAAAGAAACTAGAGAAAGAGATCTGGGCAATAAAAATATATATATATATATATCTGGCGAAATGAAATATTCTGCTGAGAAGAAAATTCTGAAATTCAGGCTTTGAAAAAATAAAGTTGAAGTTCAACAGATTTATTGACCCCATAACCATATGTCAATATTTTCACATATATTATCTCATTTAATTAAGACAAGGAAGGTTTTTATTATCTCAGCTAAACTGAAAATTTGATTCTTTGCCATGATATTCATAAATTTGTTTAAAAAATAATAAAGGAAAGCAGCATTGTTTTGTTAATTTTAGTGCTTCTCTACAATTCCCCTTTAATTTTTTTCCTTTTTAATGTTTATTAATAAACTCTTTTTTAATATTTTTCCTAAGAAAACATCTCTAATACTATTTAAAATATAAAAACAAACAGAACACAGAGCTTTGAATTACACAAAATTACACAAGCATGTATTACACACGCTCTTGGGAAAAGAGCTCTCATATAAGACAGATTATGGTCCTTCCAGTGCTAATTTGCACATGGGATGGACATCACACACACACAAATTAATGTGGCCCCAATGTCCCTGAGTATACAAAGGGGGTGCTGTGAGCCGGCTGCTGAACTTACAGTTTTTATCACTTCTGAATTGCATTTTAATAGTACATTTTTCTTTTGTGTCTAAACAAAATTTGCTTTCTCAAGGGAATGGATGGCTGAGGAGACAAGGCTGAAAGACTACGTATTTTCCTGTCCACGAGTTAATTTTACTTTCATTCAGCCATAATGTTTCACTGAAGTAACATGTATATGTACGTATGTGCAAATATAGGTATATATGTTCAAAAATATTTAGATGTTTTATAAATAATTTTCAAATATTTATCTTCAAATTAGGAAGAACTCATTTAATTCTCAAATAGGATTTGCTTTATAAAAGTATAAATAGCTATGAAAACCCTATAAAACCAATTTAGTTTATAATCAAACTTCTAGATAAATACCATTTACTTTTTTAAATGTTATCTTTTAACAATTTTAAATGTATTTTCAGATTTACCTCATACTTGCAGTGATTTATTTTCAATTAGCTGGAAAGCATATTAAAGAAGATATGGGTTAGCCTATTATTTTAGAATCTCATCAAAGATTCAGATCTGGAAGAAATTCTAAAATATAATGTGGAGATACAGTGGCTTCATGAACACATCATTCCATGAATGTGTGGGCAGTTAGGGAAGAATATGTAGAGGTCTCAGGAAGCAAAAACTGAAAATAGTCAATTAGCTTCAGGGAAAATGGGTTCACTGCAAATACAAAGTCTTTATACTTTGAGTATTAATATACTTAATATTATTTTCCAAATAAGAAGACTAATGAATTATCTTTTTTTCTCTTATAACTCCCTTTTATCCTCCCCCTTTTTATAGTCTAATTATTGCCACTCATAATTCTAGGTTTTCCTCCAGTCTGTTTATTTCACTGCCAAATAACTGAAATCTGCAAATTATGAAACCCTCTTGCCTACTGATTCAAGCCTGTATTCTTCAGCCCAGCTATCAGGCTTCTTAGAGTGCACTTGGATCTGCTCAGTCTCCTGCCACTCCCCATCTGCCATTCCACTGAGGCCACTCTCCTGTATGTCTTTCTGTCTTTCCATCCTACCTCTGCCTTTGTCCATGCTCCTCTCTTCCTGATATGCTGATCCATATACTGCTCATCTTTCAAAATCCAGCTTAACACCCAGTTTTCCTAGGCAGCTTAATTATCCCACTCCAGTCCACACTGATCTCTACTGTCTTAATAATATTCATTCATTAAACAAACATTAAATTAAGTGCTTTTGTATATTAAGCATTTTGAAAAACACTGAGGTAGAATG